AAATTTATACAACTTGTGTATTATGGTTTCGGACGTTAAATTTAAAACGAAATCCTGAAAGACCAGTTTCATCCCCGAGCCGACGGCGCGAAGCGCCATGCGAGGGTACTAATTCCCCCCCGGCTATTTACACCCGGGGAAACGAAAGCATTAGCGAAGTCTAAAGCTTTGTAGAAGCTTTGTCTCTTTGTCTAAAGTTCATCAAATATCGCGGGCGTCGGTCACCAACGATGGTGAGTGGTTTAAATTAAAGACATATATTTGGGAAATCGTTTCATATACAACAAGCTAGCCTGCGAACAGGCTCTCAAGCTGAATTGAGAGCCTGTTCGCAGGCTAACAACAAGCTTGAAGTAATTTTGTTTGAAGAAATGAGAAGAATTGATTTACTATGGGAAATCGTGAAATATACGGCAAGTTTCCCTTGAATATTTAATGTTTACGAATTTTGTTGCTTTAACGTTTTGGCTAAAAACATGAACTGTTTTCCTTTTCAACGAAGCTCTAAGTTTCATAAATTACCGTTTAATTTGAGGAAAAATCTTAAAATGTAAAGGAGAACAAAATTATTTGAAGACTGAACTGAAATTTCCTAACAATTTGTTTTATTTGTAACTTATTATGTTTTATTATTAGTTTAATATCGGCAAATGAACTATAGTTGAATGAAGATTTCAAAACATTTTACGAAGCGTTTCAAGTTAAATTTTACATTAAATCAAAGCTTATAAAATGCAAAATAATATACCTACAGTATATATTTCGGAAATTTATTGTTGTATAGTTAAAAATACGAATCTTTCAACTACTTTGCAGTTTTGTACAAAAAATATGAAAAAAATAAAAATTTAAGAATATCGTGTTGTCATGGCAATACTTGAGCGCGAGCCTGCATTCAGTGGTCCATTTCTGAATACTTCATGTTAATTTAATGTTTGGAAAATATTGGCGAGGGGTTACTCCATGCATGAATTTCTAGTATTAATCTGACACTGCAATAGACCAACGAAAAGTTCGTTGACTCGAGCAGGATTTGAACTCGCACCTTCGGGTATCTATACCGCCGCTCTACCCATTGAGCTATCGAGTCAACGGGGATTGGTAGCGAGTGTTACCCCATTTAAGTGAACGAAATATTTTCGTGACGACTTACGCTTGTCTTAGAGGACGCGCATTGTTCCATTTCTATTTCAGAACCATTGACTCATATATAGCTCAATGACAATGGGTAGAGCGGTGGTCTAGATACCCGAAGATGCGAGTTCAAATCCCGCTCGAGCCAACGAATTTTTCGTTGGTCTAATGCAGTGTCTGATTAATATGAAACTGGTTTTTCGTATCTCTGAGGATGGTTCTGAAATAAATCCTGAAAGATTTCGTATTTATTATGACACGACTTCCTCTATATCATCGAGTGTTGGGGTTGCATTAGTCCGGCAAGCGAGAAGTTGGATCAGATTCACAGTGGACAAAAGGCTTGGCGAGGAAAGTACGCTTCGCTATAAAAACATAATCTATAATTATATATGTACGCATATTACATCAGACATCAGACCCGTACTTGAGTATTGTGCTCCCGTGTTTCATCATGCTCTCCCAGGATATTTGTGTGACGATCTTGAACGCATTCAAAAGCGTGCGTTATCGATTATATCTCCGGGACTATCCTATATGGACAATCTCACTGTACACGATATCAGTACTTTGAAAGACAGGCGCCAGAAACTTTGTAAGAAACTTTTCCAAACAGTTGTGTCCGATGCTGATCACAAGCTTTACCATCTTCTGCCGCCCTCAAAGACATCAGCCTATAACCTAAGAAGACTGCGTCGTTTTGACTGTCCTGCTACACGAACAAATCGTTTTAGTAATTCTTTTATTCTGTCAATGTCAAAAGAGTAGTTTATAAACGATACCATGCAGTGGGGATCAGATTTGACTTCCCCTACCACTTCCGCTGCCTATCGCTGATTTGTTATGCATGTGATTAGTTAATTTAGTAGTCTGAATTTTTCTGATTAGTTCCTAGTCCTTTTCGGTAGCAGTGGTGGTGGTGGAGGTCGGATCTGAACTTCGCTACCAACGTTTTACAAGTACATATTTATTGATATGTGTATGTTTGTATGTATGTATGTGAGATGTACATATTATTTTTGTAAATTTTACGCAATTCAGCTTTTGTAGGCTGCTATGTAAAATCATAATAAACTATCTATCTATCTATCTATCTATCTCT